AGCCAATTTTTTGGGAGCCCGTAGCATCCCCACCCCTACTTCAGAGGCTTAAGCTTGAAAGGGGAGGGCAGGGTTGCCAACCTCTAGGTAGTACCGAGGGGTTGTCTCAAAGGTTCCAACCCAACTAATGAAAGGCCACATCTACCTTTTTCAGTTTCTTCTATCCGTTTTTTTCCTCCTCGTTTGCTTTTGAACGGGGCTGCAGCATGTGCCAATGTGGTTGTAAGTGGAGTCGGCCCCCTTGGACGGGAGGCAGACGAGCTTGGACGAGGTCCGATCCGTGGTAGAGCGGGTGCCTGAGGAAGGCCCTTCAGATCTTGCTGCGCAAACCTCTGGAGCCTTTTCTCATCACTGTGGATCGAAACCAATGGTGCCATTTTGGTTGGTAGGTGCACCACCCATTTTAGTCTAGTGGGGATTGGGATGTTCACTGAGGGTACGATTTGGCTTTTGACGCCATGTGTGCCTCAGGGGATGTGCCCCAATCTACTCCGTTGGAGGTTCCTTAGAACGGGGTTGTGGGGAACTAAGAAGTCCAGCTCTGTCGAGATATGAGAGTTGATCTAAAGGTCCTTGCTTTACAATATGAAGGGGACGACCATTTGGTACCATCCATGATCCCCCGCGAAAGCTCCGCGATGGACTTCGCGAAAGTAAATTTTTTTTCGCGAAAGTTTTTCGTGCATTACGTGAATCACTGGTCTTATAGGACCTCGGACATATGGGATTGGGTATGTGGTTTTCATGCGAGCGGACTTGCTGACAGGGGGCCTGTGTGCAGCGACAGGGGGCCTTGAAGAGCGACACCCCAGCCAGCCATGACAGCCAACCACAACACATGTTTTGACCGCCGCACATATGGGACAGTGCCCCGTGTAACGTTGCTAAAGTGTTGAGGGCCCCTTTGGGCCCGCGGATGAATCCAACTTGTCAGCCACATTTCCACCAATGTTTGGCGCAAGATCCGCGAAAGTTTCGCGAAAGTTCATGGACCTCTCAGCCCGCTTCCGCACATGGCTGGCCAACGGGGCTGCTCCTGCCAAGACAGTGGGCTAGCACTTCCACTTCCGGGAGCAGCACAGACAGTGCTTCAGACTAACGGCAACCAAGCCAACGCAGCTAAAATTTGGCTGCGACTTGCTGTTGCGCTTCTGCTCATGAACCACCACAGGGTTGCGTCCACTTGCAGTTTTATAGGGAACTCCATATGGCACACAACACATGACCCCAGCGCACCCATTGTTCGCATACGAGCAATACGAGCTGGGGCAAACTTAAGGGGGGCGGTTGCCTTACGATGTTCTATACAACAAACCTGCCGGCAGGGCATGGGTATGATTATCGGCGCCACCAATAACATCGTGTTCGTAGTCCTGGACATTCTTCGGCTTTCGCAGTTCCAGTTTCTACTTGTGAAAGGGGTGGTTCTCGTAAGGGTAGCTGCGCGATGAGGGTCGCGAAAGTTTCGCGAAAGAGAAATTTTTTTTCGCGAAGAATGGCCGTTCCAGGAACAAGGAATTTAGATCAACGGCCAAATATGGGAATATGATTTTTATTAGGGAACCACCTACAAAGTGACTGGCGGATTCATGAATCCCCACCAAATTTTGATGTCAACCAGTTCAGGTCCCTTATTGAAATTCAGAGCCATATGGGAATATATGTTTGTATTCTGTTGCTTGTCGGCATACGCTGCACCGGCCGCTGCAGTTGCGGACCTGAAGCTGGAAAGCTCCTGCCTTTGAAGCATCACACAGGGTTACGTTTGTTTGACTACCCCAAGGTAGACTTAAACCCACAAAATGACCGATTTCCCGAAACCCTTGCGTTTTCATCTACCTACCTTGGTGTAGTCAAACAAACGGAAGCCTGGCATCACAGTTCCCATTTTCGTTGGCCCCTAACATGACACATGACCCACACTGGAGTTTTTAGGGTCGTTTTGAGTTTGCCCTCTGCCATGGTTGGTTTCCTTTTGATTTGGTTTCCTTTGGCCTTACCTGCAACGACAACACGACTTCCTTGCCTTTGAGAAGCGCTCAACGGCATCTCACTGGCAGTTTCGGCCCGGACATCTGCTCCAGTGAGTTCCTGGGGTCCTGGCCGTGGGGTCACTGCACGGGGCCGTGGGTTCGCGTATCCGTACAATCAGCCTATAAATGTAGATCGCCCCAGTCAGGGGATGACGCAACAAATAGGTTAGAGTGGCCAGCCATCTATTTTGACTGTTGACAAATTCACACCAAGTGTCTGGGCACGTCATCGCCTTTCCGTTGTTTTTGGTGGCCCGTCTGGAAGTCAGACCGCTGGGCAGCTTGCTTTGAAGGCGCTCAACGTTAGGTGCAAACCGCCTCTGCGACGATGTGGTGCGTTTGTTTTTTGACATCAAACTGGACCGCACAGATGCCGCTGTCAGTCGTGTGCTCCTGCATCGTAAGAAGGAGCTGAGAGGGAACACATAACATGTCAGCCTCACTTCCTGAGTAGATGGATTGGCCAGAAAAGATCCAGACTTTTTGCTTACCACAAAAAATGCCCAAAAAGTTTGAAGTCCATGAACTCAGGGAGTGAGCAGCTGAGAAACACTGTCAATGCCTTCGCAAAGGTCGTGAAGCAGCGGGTCAATCGTAAGAATTCCGCTAGCTGGAGTTTGTATCTACCGTGTGTTTTTGTTTGTTTTTGGTTTGGGTTGCTCTGACGAGTTGGGTCCTCCTCGTGAACATTTGGGCACCCTTTTTTGTGGTTGAAATGCAAACCAAGAGGAGCATCACCATCTTGGGGGTCCGACTCCTACAAAAGACACCCCCCTCTTTCCTCAGCTTCCCTCAAATTGGTGGTTTGGAGCCGAGTCGGTGGTTTGGTGGTGAAACGGAGGGGTTTCCCATGTACCTTCTGCAAGGGACCCGTTCAAATCCCCAACCGCCGGGCTCCGAACCACCGATTCGAGGGAGGCCGATGTAGGCTTTTGTTTGTTTGCAACGCCCGCTCAAGCCGAGGCGGTGCCCGAAGCAGCGCTTTCAGATGCACGAGGCACGCGCTCTTTTTTGTTTGCTTGTTTGTTTGTTTGTTTGTTTGTTTGTCGCGAGTCCTGTTTTTTTTTGGGACGCGGCTCCGTGGGTCCCACACGAAATTGCCCGACGCCCCTTTAAGGTTAAGGGGAAGGCTAGCTTGGGAAGATCAGTTTTAAGTGGTACGCAAGAGTTACATAGGTGTCCTTTTGATCGGTGAGTTTTGTTAGACATAGATTTGGGTTCCACTGGTTCAGGTTTGTTTTGTTACCCCAAAACACCAGGGAAACCCTTTGGATTTGCCCAAAGGGTCACCTGTGGCAAGAGCTCGAAACTGACTCACAAGTAGATGGGTGGTTGTTTTTTCCTTGAACTTTGAGGGTCCCGTGTTTGTTTCTTCTTGCGGACAGGACAGCACTGGCGCGTGGATCCGGGCGACGCAGGGCCACTCCCTGAAGATGGCGCGAATCCCTGGCGAAATCCACTTCGCATCACCGGAGAAACCCAAGAATACCAACAGTGACAAAACCCACAATAATCCACTAATAGTCCACGCCTGCAAAACCCTAAGAATCCACTTCGCGTCACAAAGCCCACAATTTCTATTAGGGAACCACCTACAAAGTGACTGGCGGATTCATGAATCCCCACCGAATTTGGAATTTGGATGTCCTCCAGCTCGGGTCCCTTCTTGAAATTCAGGGCCAGATGAGCCACGTCCTCAAAACCGATTCGGGGAGTGATGAAGCTTAGTAAAAGACGATCCCCTTGCAATGAATAGCGGCGGATATCCGCCTTCTTAGTTCTTGAAGCATGGTTCTGGGATTACGACCGTTTTTGTACCGATCGGTTTTGATTGTGACTCACTTCGCATCACCTGAGAAACCCAACGAATGATTCGACTCCCCAACGTAAATACCAACAAACAGTGTTTTCAACCATGGTTAAAAAGTGGTTTCAACCATGGTTTCCCAGAATGTCAACCCTGGAGCAAGTAGAACCTCTGGTTGATTTTGATCGGGGGGTGTCCCAATCCTTTTAGTGGGGATTCCCATCACTTTTGGAGGGAAAACCCCCAATAATGGGACGGGTTTATTAATCCTGGGTCAACATTAGCTTGGGGAACGATGGGACAGGTGAGTGTGGGGTCAACGCCATTTTATCCAAAACGATGGGAAAACCAGAGGGTCCATTTCGAAAATTGGGTCACCAGCTCTGTGAGTTGGTAGGGGGCTGACTCACCCTGCCGGATTTTCTTCGGAATGGTGGTTGAATTAGGTGCTGGGCAAATTGGGGTCTCAGAATGGTTGCAAAAGGAGATTCTTCTGACTTCTGACGTTGGTTCCTTTTTTGAAGCTCGGTTCTTTCTCTTCTTTTTGGGTCGTTTTAAGGGGAGGGAAAAAAGGCACATCACCAGTTGTGAGGTTCCCCTAAAAGGACACAACCAAATACAGATGTCTCTTTGACAAAACAGTGAAATGGCTCCCCTGATGATTCCGAAGACGATTTTGTTTGGGGGTCCTTCGATTTTTTGTAGCGCATCGTTTCGAACACATCTGCAAAAAACGAGGGGTGACTTGGGACACTGCTTTTTGGGTGTGTGTTCTTCGGGTGTAGCCAGGAAAAGTCACCCAGTTTGGGGTCCCGGTATGTTGACACATACCCTTATGATGCTGTCAAAGCAATTTGTCGTTGAGCGGCCGTGAAGTTTTAGGTTTGGTTATCAGATCCCCCAGGCGTCAGGGGCGCTCGCTCGGCACTGGGCTTTGATGTGGTCTCTGAATGGCTCCGTGTTTTTCTTCCGTGTTTTTTCTTTCTTTTTCAGCCGCCCCGATTGTTCAGGTTCGCCTTGGTTTGGAGCTCGGCGCTTTGGGGATTTGAGCCCTTGGTTCTTGTAAATGTGAAACCCCTCCATTTCACCACACCGCCGACTCGGCTCCACCAAATTGCTCCTGGGGTCACGGAGCAACCCGAATAGGTTGGATCGCCTCAGGTGTCGGACGAGTCCATCCACCGCCCCCTGACCTCTGCGCAGGGCTCAGATGGCGTTTTGGAAGCGATCCTCGAAGCAGCCAGCTGGGCCAATTTGCAGCACCACGAAACTCTGGCTTCAGGATCCACTTCATCCCAAAATCACATGTACAGCTTTGGGAGGATCCGGACGCCGTGCGATGTTCATCTTTTTGGGGACGCGCCGAGACATCGGCACGACACGACAAGTCGCGGCGTGAGGCCGCGGACATTGGCCAGGAGCAGGCGTCGGCGGAAAGGGAGGGGTTGGGCACTTGCCGAAAACCGACTCGGGGTTGCTCCCCTCCAAAAAGTGGTCTGAATGCTCACTAAGTCCAGGGACACCCCCTATGAATAGACTGGGGTCTGTTAATATGGGGTCAACCTTAGGTTAGGGACAGTCCCCTTGCCAGACAGCTCAGTGCGGATCTCCGGCTTCGAAGGAAGTCTTGAGGCATTCTCGATCGGTTTTGATGACTCAGATCGCCGCTCTCGTGTTGATTTGGGTGTGAGTTCTATCAGGCACTGTTTGGGGTGGACATGAGGGGATTTATGTCCGAACTACGATTGACGGGGATTCTCGATCAAGAATCAGAGTCTTCTGGGTGAGCTTAAATATGGGCCGTTCTGCTTTTGATTTCCCTTTAAACCAAGATCCATTTGGACAATTAGGGACCCTCAGGTGCCTTCCGATTTCCCCTCAGCACAATCCAAAAGAGGAAACTCCATTTTAGGAGCTCGCATTTGGGTGTGTCTTACGTAGAATGAAAGACCCTGTTAGGGAACGGCGTTTTGTTTTGGCTGTGTGGGCAACCCCTGCCACGAGTGGCCGTGGGGCTTGGAGCGAGAAAAAAAGGTTTGCTTCGAGCAGCGATACGGAGTCTTGCAGACCTCTTTTGGAATCAGTCGTTCCACCTCGCCTTTGAGTACCGGCAACAAAGACTTGTTTGTTTCTGCAGTAGATTTGTTCCAGTGTCGCATCAACGTATCAGCTCTAAAAAACAACAGCGGCAATGTCAATTGCGAATATTGTGAGGCTCTTAGGGGATACACCCTCCTAGCACGTTCTTCTTTTTTCTCCCTTCGAACCAGCCTGTACAAGGGTATTTACCCAACAAATGAACTGGCCACCTGATGCTTACTCCCTCGTAAATACCAACCAGCAATGATTCTAGGAGTTGATTTTAACCATTCTTTTCAACCATCGTTCTTTTCAAAAACCAGCGTTTCTTCAAGGTTTTGGGTGGTTTTGAGGAAGAAGGATGCCTGGAAAGAATGGAAATGGAAGTTACCCCTAGAATGATCTAACTCCCCCAGCAGTGCCCTTCTCTCCCCTTTTTTGGTTGGGAGATTCGGTTCCCCTACTAAAATAGAGGGAAAAAAGGAAAAACAAACCGAGCAAACATCGGCACCAACTTATTCTAACCTCTCTAAAATAGACGTCCTGCAAAAAGACGAAGAAGAAAACCGGTACCCTTATTCTAACCTCCAGACGTCCTGAAAAAAAAAGAAGAACAAGACACCGGTACCCTTCTTCTGAGCGAACCTCAGATCTGGAGGACCAGATGGTCCACGGCACCTTCCATCCCGCAGCTTCCGAGGTGGTCCACGGCACCTACCTGCGGCACTGGCTGAAGATCCGGTTGGAGGGGCTGAGGAAGATGAGCCCGGGGCCCATGCCGATCCCCGAGATCCCCGAGATCCCCGAGATCCGAGAACCTCGCTTGGGGGGCTTTGGTGGGAGGGTGGATTTTCTTTTTTTGGGATGCGCCCCTCTTTTTGGTTGGTTTGACGCAAGTGAGCGTCCTTTTTTTGGGTGTTTTCGGATGCGCTTTTCTTTTTGGTCGTTTTTTTTTACGGAAGTGAGACGACAGGTTACTTCAAAGACGCCGCTGTTCAGTCGCTGCTCGTGTTTTCCGGGTCCATGACCAGGTTGTTGCTGGCCAGGGTTCACCGAGTGTGCTTTGATGGGAGCCCTCCAATTTGTCCTGTGACGATCCTGTGGATGGTTGCGACATCTGCTTCTCGCACCACCGTTCAGACACCCAGTCCGGGATGATTCGACTCTCCGACGTAAATACCAAGAACCGTTATGGTCCCATTTCCATGGTTTCATTTCGTGGTGCGAGAAGCAGATTTTGCAACAATCCACAGCAAGTGTAAGGTCCAGCGATTTCTGTGCATCTTCAGTAGGGGGCTGCACAAACCCACAGCTTTTTGCCACCATACCAAGGGTTGAACAGAGGGGTATGGGTCAAAATTAAACCACCAGGGGACCGCAGGTTTAGTCAACTTTTCCATTTACCAGGGTTCCATTTTGGGTATCTATTTTTGACTCACACCCAGATAGGGTCTGGATCTCTTCCTTTTTTCGCAGTCCTCCTGCGGACTGCTCGGACCGGGGAGATCTGGGATCTGAGGCCGGAACCACATCCACCTCTGCCGCTGCGACTCCAAAGAGTTGGGGCTTGGGAGGTCTGCATTTTTTCCCCAAACAGTTTACTGTGAGGGGTTTTAAATGGAGGCTTTTTTTTTTGGTTTTTCTTCCTCCCACTGTTTGGGGTCTCTGCTGGTGTAGTTTCTTTTGAAGATGGGTGGAGCCCTTTTGGGACAAGCCTGACTAAGAGATGGGAAGCTCCCAGGCCTCTGTGGAGCGTCTTCCTGGGTGGGAGCTTCCGTGCTCGCCTGGAGTCTATAGATCAGGTGGCCAACTGGCACACTGTCAGTTTTTTTCCCGCATCAGCCACCCGCCATCAGCCCTTAAGCCATGGAGGGGATCATACTTGGGGTTGCTCAAGATTGTTTTGGCGCCCGCGTGTGTTTTTGAGGCTTGGTACCCTTTCACGTTGCCTGGAGAGACGAAAAGGAAGCCCGAAGCCGTTTTTTGGGGGATCCAAGTGAAGGCAATCCTGCAACCGAAAGACATGGCTCTTGTGGAGGGCAATTGAACGGGGGCCGGGGCAGTTGTCATGGCGGCCAATGATCTCTTGGGATTGAAAGCATGGCTTGTGGCTTCTTGGAATAAGGAACCTTTTTTGGATGGTTTTAAAGAGAAGTCGACAGGAAACACAGCATTCCTCATGTTGAAAAGCGCCCAGGTGGACTTTAGCGTGGGGCAAATCCCTTCCCCTGGTATCTCCCTCGTATGGTCAAACAACACTTCACGTACCCTTGGTATATTTCTGGTGCGGAATTGGAAACGGGAAGCCGGTTGAGAATCCATTCATATCCGTCCCCTCAAACGGTACGACGTTCTTGTTCTTTTTTCTCCCGTAACCCACGCGGATTCCACGTTGTCCTTTTTCTTCTGACCCTGCTGGACCTAACCGCAAGGCGAGGGCCGGCCTCGCGGATGTCGTTTCTCCAACCCAGAAAGCGCTGTGGGGCCGGGCCCAGGCGGTTTTTATCAAGACGTCATTTTCCGAAAGACCGAGTGCAAAACGAGCGGCCAGTTTCTTTTTTGAGGCCTCGTGTTTTCCCTTGAGACTTCCTGGTGGGTTTTCCAGGTCGGAGATTCAGAATTCCTATGGGTTTTCTGTTTAGACACAAGATGGGGACCATCCAAAGGGCCAAGCAGTATCTAAAGTTTAGTTTCCTTTCGACTCCTCTTTAACACCATCTCAACCCAGGTAATAGCTCGTTTCCATTTGGCTTCTATTTTGGGAACCCCTGGTTCTTGTAGAGAGTTTTGCTGCGAAGTCAGAAGCTAGCAACCCAAACCAGCAACCCAAGCCACGTAACTTGCGTGTTTTCCTTTTAGGCATCCCCATGTTCATTCCCAAGATAGGGAGTGAATTTGAAGAGGGGATCCTTTGGTGGACAGATTTCGCTGGAGATTCATGTCTACCACTTTGGGGGTGGTTCGAACTTTTTAGAAAGTCATAGCCATTTCGGTGTTTTTGGAAATTGAGATCCTGGGACCCTCAACTATGTAGTGTTTCCCTTTTGTTTGCCCAAACCAAGCCCAAATAGGCTAAGACACACCCATTTTGAGATAGGGACATGGGAAGAGGTTGATTTCCTCCTGGTTTCCCCTTAACTTGACTGCTATCGGGTTGGTTGGATCTTTAGACTTTAACTTTTCGTGAAGTCAAGTTGGGTTTTCCACTAAACCCACAAAAAGTGAGAAACACTTTTTGCAGAGGAGTCGTTGCAGCAACAGGGCTCCTTAAAATAAAATCATTTTGCAACCATTTGAAACATGTTGCTTTTTCCACCAACATAAAGCTGGAAGCCACCATTTACAAGTTGCAATGTTCAGGTGTATAATGTAAGGATCCCTGCAAAAGGAAAACAAAACCCTTCCGCCATTTTGGGAGGCCCCCCCACAAAAGCACACACCCGTTTCCTTTTTTGGAACCACCAAGAGTGGCGATCGTTTCAATGGACACCACCAAGCTAAGAGGGTGGTTCGCCAAGGCTCAAGCATCATAGGGCTGAGTCCCTCTTTGAATCCCAAGGCCTGGGTCTGCCGGGCAGCGGAGTCGGGGGGCTTTTGAGTTCGGAGAGGGGTCACGGGTGACGGAAGGGTTGGACCAATCTTTTTTCTTGAGTAAATTTATTCTCTGTCTTTTTCCACCCTTCCCGAAGAGAACAGGGACAATTCAACCAGGCAAACGAGTTTTTGGGGTCTTTGAGATCCTTTGAAGAAATCATGCTTTTCTGGATAAAGGGTGATTTTTCAGGGACACATTTTCCCCAAGCTTTGGTGTTGGGCAGTTAAAAGCGGCGCTTTGCCATTCAAGCACTCCTTCTTTTTGACAGCTTCGAACCGTCGACCGGTGAATTTGGGACTTCTTTTGTTGGAAGGCTTGAGTTTGCAACCGGGGAGGCTCAAATCACATTCTTAATGGACGGTGAAAACCCCTGAGCGGAGTGAAGGAAAACGTCGTTTTATTCGGATCACTATGGATGCCGAGGTCTGGGTCAAATAGCAGGAAAAGGAACCCAAGTATTTTGGTTTTCGGCCCGGTCGTCTTGGAGACAAACCCAACCATGGTCGCAGGTGTCCAAAGTTTTCACCACCAGACTCGGTTCAATCTGCAGATGAAGCTGGCTCAAATGTTGGGATCAAAGGAAATCAAAAGGAAACCAACCACCTGGGAGAATTGGTGCTGACTTTGAGAAATGCCCGGATAGCTTCCTTTTGGGTGTCCTCTCAGCCATCCGGGCTCTCCTTCCAAGTTACTGTATCAAACGAAAGATGGTGTGCCCTGTTCTCGCTCAGACCCATTTGCAGTTGGTCAAGTAGCCCCTACGTGGTGGGTTGAATTGGTGGTTTCGGGATTTGAGCCCTGGTTCTTGTAGAAGGTAATTGGGAAACCCCTCCGGAACAATACCAAACCACCGGGCTCCAAACCGTCAATCAGAGGGAAGCGAGTTGGGTGAAAGTTTCGATGGCACTTCACCCATGTTGAGTTTACATCCCTTTTCTTAACATGGGAGCCGTGCCATCTACTTTTGCATCGTTCAGACAACTCCAAAAAGATGAGGGACGCCAAGCACATGGAGTCCACTTTTCGGTTTTGGATAGAAAAGAAGAACAGCAAGCAGCCGAAGTTTTCGATTTCGAAGCCTCCTTCAGGTTTCCCTTGAAAAACCCAAGCTGAACGAAGGCGCATCCAAAAAGGACAGAGAGACCCCCCCCCCCCCCCCGAGGGATTCCTCTGGGGAACGATAACCTCAGTTCCGAGGTCGTGAGCGGCATGCGGCACAGCTGCGAGGTGGCGATTCACATAAACCTGCAGGCTGCCAGAGGGCCCAGGAACTTCCCCGAGGGAGCATTTTTTTGTTTTTTTTTCATGTTCTTTTTTCTTTTTCGGTGGCGTTTTCCGTAGTATTTGTGGCATTTTTTCTTTCCCAGCGTTTGGTCGCTTTTTTTATTATTGTTTTTTTTGGGTAGCGTTTGCCGGAGATTTTTTCCCGAGCTTTTTGTCTTCAGAGTTGTGTTTGGAGCTTTTGTTTGGGTTTTGTGACCATTTTTTGTAGGGGCTGCAAAAATCGAACAGTTCGGCGGTTGCAAGACCAGACCGTTTGGGTGTCCAGTAGTTAGACAAGCTGGACTCAGAGTCAGAATGTCGACAATGGCGGTTCCCTTCAAAAGCTGACAAGGGATTTTCTAAAAAGCACATGATGTGGGGGTTGAGATGGAAAGCTGGTTTCCGAGTTTCGCCTTTGCAAGCCATTTGAACCCCTTTACACGGGATGACCATTGGGGAAACCCCACTAGCAAGATCACATGGGCGCGGCTCAACACTAAAGAGTAAGTGTTTCGCACGTTTTAGTCTTTGTTTACATTTGCCAGGTTTCCAGTTTGGGTACCCATTTTTGATTTCACAGCCACATGTGAAAAGTTACCCATGGTCAGTTGAAGGCCGAACGGAATATTGATCAACCCCAATTATAAGACTACCAGGGTTTGGGCTTGGACCAGTTAGGGTGTTGCCATGGTTCTTGGACCATTTTGGAGTGTCTTTTGCTTTGGTAAAGGGAAACCAAAAGGCAAGCTGTCATGTTTTGGGGTCCAAGTTCATCTATTTTGAGACCATTCCCAGGACTCATTTCATGTGGTTCCCCTAATTTTTTGAGACAAACCTGTATATTGCCCTGCAAGCGGCGGAATTATCACAAAGCACGAAGCTTCCGATGTCTGAGCTCTTCTTTTCTCCGAGGCCATTGACGGGGGCGTGAAGCTCATGCAGTCCAGCAACGGCGCGGGGCTCCGGGGCTCCGGGGCTCCGGCTTCGGGATTTGTCCCCCTTGGACCTGAGAGCCGAGTGGAGAGATGTTGTTGTTGAATGCGCCACTTGCTCAAAACCGATTCGGGTAGGCTTAGTAAAGGCCGATCCCCTTGCCACAAATAGCGGCGGAATTCCGCCTTCTGAATTCCTTACATGGTTCTGGGTAGACAATTTTAGTACCGGGTTCTGATTGTGACTCGAATGGGGTCGCAGCATTTTGGCGCCTCGAATGTGTGATAGTTGTCTTCCTTTCCCATGAGACATGGAATGAACCCGGGCTTTGGTCGCCTTAAAGGAAACCACAAGGGATGGTTTGCAGGGCTCATTTCCTCATTCCCCTGGAAAAAAGCAGTTGCCGGGGATACCCTAGACCTACAAAAGTGTTCACCAGATGGGGGTTAGCCATGTTTATGCTAGGGGTTGGCTCAAGCCTGCTTGTGAGCAAGTTGGTGGTGGAAACCATCAGCATGATTGGGGGCTTAAATTTCCGAATCACGGTAACCTCACAGGTGGTCCTTCTTGCCAAAAGGGCCGGCACCAAAACATTTCTTGCCCGGGCAAATGAAAGTGATCACACACAACTGTTGGCCTGGCGCGGGATGTGTGTGTGTGAGGGGGGGTTTACCTGACCCATGATGCTTCCCCTCATCGGGTTCCTGTGAGTATTCACAGGTTTCTCCTGTCCAAACATGTTGAAAGATATCGGTTGGAGGCTTCAAACAGGGGCAGCAAGTCCTCTACTTTTCGGGTCTCCCAGACAGATCTACGGGGCTCCCCGGTCGGAAGCGTATGGCAAGGTGTAGCAGGAACACCGTTCACTGTCGGTGTTTCCAATGTCAAGAGTTGATTTGCCTGCCATTGGCCTGGGCGACGCGCATCCCCGCTGGCAGTGGCCAGTGAGAGTCTCACGACCAATATCTGTCGCGAAAGAAAACTGAGGGGTACACTTTTGATGTTTGACACGACTTTGGGCAGACCAATTTAATGTCAAGATTGGGGCTTTCCTTTTGGTTTCCTTTTCAAGCCACTTGCAAACCAAGCCCCCCAAGCCCCAACCCCCCCCCCCCTCCCAATTCTTCTCCCCCAACTCCCCCCCCAAAAAAAACAACAACACCAAGAAAAAGACAAAAACAAAGCAAAACAGAACTCCCCCCCACAACTCCAACTCACCCCTCCCCCCAGCCTTCTCTTCCCTCCCGCAGGCGTGATCCTCACCCCCGGGGAGGGCGAGGGCGTGCTGGCCCCTCGCGCCTGGGCGTTGATTCGCGCCGTGGCTCGGTCCAGGGACCGCGCGGCGCCTCTCGAGTTGGTACCCCCCCGACACCTTTCTACGTGCTTTTTTTTGGGACCACCCAAAACAGGGCTCCTTAAAAGATACATTTTTGCCAAGCTGCAACATGGCTTATTTCACCAAAATACAGGACACCTCCATTTACAAGGCAATGTTCAGGTGTATAATGTAAGGATCCCTGCAAAAGGAAAACAAAGCCCTTCCGCCATTTTGGGTGGTTTTCACAAAAAGCACACATTCGTTTCCTTTTTTGGAACCACCAAGAGTGGCAGTTTCAATGGAGCCAGTAAATGTGCAACTTTTGAAGTGAAATCCAATTCAAGATGACCCGAAACACCCAGAATAATTTGGTGGTTGATGTTCGTATTTTAGGGGTTGCCGGCGGGCATCCTGCCAGATTTCGGGAGGTCATTTTCAAGAGGAAAGAGGAAGACACCCAAGACACACCTCCACGCACTTGGCGAACGCACACGCTTCGCTTTGGGCCAGATTTAGGGATCGATTTCCCAATTTAAGGGTAGAAGATGGGTTTAGTTGCCTCAAGGGTAGAGAAACACACACTCGGGTAGAAGATTGGTGCCTTCACCGTGGGCATTGTGTTGCTTGGTGGTTCCCAGCGATCCTGTTAGGTTTTTTTCACAGAACAGAACATCTTTGAGCAGGGGATCAGGGGATCAGAAAACGGACAGCCTAGTGAATTGTATCTCCGTGTTTAACTCATTTTCAGATGGTTTAGTTTTGATTTTTGATGTTCATGTTTTGCTGGCATACCTTGGGCTTGGAAAGGTAGGAGACCCGGATGTATCCGAAGATTGGTTGTGGACCGAATCCCAGAACGGACGGGTTTTCCTGCTACACCACCAACACATGGGGCACCGAGCCTGTAAAGGCAGACAGACCCAGTTTGGTCTCCCTCGCAACGTAGTGGAAACGCCCAGACGAAGAGTTATTTTGGACGCCCCCAAATGGGTGAGCAATGGGTGTGGCTCAAGAATAGCCGGGGGTTCAATTGTTTGAGAGGATATGTACCTTTGTTGCAGGGCAATTTACAGGCACTTGCCAATGTATTCCCCCTGCAGGATTCCGGCAGAAGCATCATCCGTTGTGCAGGGATCTGCTTTGAATGTGCACGCAATATGCAGAATCAAACATTTGACAGTTCTGGGTCGAGGGCCATTTGCTGAGGTAGCTATGGCCCACGTTTCATTTTTTTTTGGGGTTTACATATAAGCATGGGTAACCTTTCCCATTTAGTGGTTGATATCTCATCTTTTTTTTGGTTTTCCAACCAACGTCATCCCATGTTTACCGGACAATTTGATCGTTTCCCTTTAAAGCCAACCAACAAGGGTACCAACGCAACAAATGGAACCACTCCCAGATCAAGAACTTTGGCTTTCCGGGTACCCATCTTTCTAGAACCAGACCCCGCTGAGAGCGAAGAAGACAACACCCTTTTGCAGCAGAGGCTACTTCACCAGCGCTGTGTGGTGGGAGCCCCGTGCGGAGTTCGTGCAATTAGATTGAGAGAGACAATGCAGCAAGCTACTGATGTATATTTGTGCGTGTGTGTGTGTGTGTGTGTGCGCGTATTAGTGTGTTAAGCTAGTCAGCTAGTTAGATAGTTAGTTCCTTTGTTGGTTGGCTAGCTAGCCAGCCAGCTAGCTAGCTAGCTAGCTAGTTAGTCAGCTAGTTATCCAGTTAGCTTTTTCTAGCTAGTTGTTAGCTAGCTGGCTACTCAGCTAGTTAGCCAACTAGTTAGCTAGCTAGCTAGTTTGCTGGTTGGCAATTTAGATTGCGTCGTGATCGCTTCTTCATTGTTTGTTTGTTTGTTTGTTTGTTTGTTTATTTGTTTGTTTGTTTGTTTGTTTGTTTGTTTGTTTGTTTGTTTGTTTGTTTGTTTGCGTGTTTGTTTGTTTGTTTGTTTGTTTGTTTGTTTGTTTGTTTGTTTGTTTGTTTGCTTGTTTGTTTGTTTGTTTGTTTGTTTGTTTGCGTGTGTTTGTTTGTTTGCGTGTGTTTGTTTGTTTGTTTGTTTGTTTGTTTGTTTGTTTGTTTGTTTGTTTGTGTGTTTGTTTGTTTGTTTGTTTGTTTGTTTGTTTGTTTGTTTGTTTGTTTGTTTGTTTGTGTGTGTGTGTGTGTGTGTTTGTTTGTTTGTTTGTTTGTTTGTTTGTTCGTTCGCTTGCCTGCCTGCCTGCCTGTCTGTCTGTCTGCCTGCCTGGCTGCCTGCCTGCTTGCTTGCTTGCTTGCCTGCTTGCTTGCTTGCTTGTGTGTTTGCATGTTTGTGTGTATGTATGTTTGTTTGTTCGTTTGTTTGTTTGTTTGTTTGTATGTCTGTTTTTTGGCTTGCTTGCTTGCTTGCTTGCTTGCTTGCTTGCTTGCTTGCTTGCTTGCTTGCTTATTCTTGTTTTGCTTTTTCTTCGTGTGGGAATGAACCCGGCGCTTGCTGATTTGGCAATGTTTATTCTTGCAGCACCACTTCGTGAGGTCTTGAGCCTTGAGTTCTTGACATGGGGTGGGTAGATTTCTGTGATACTTTTATGCAAGCGGTTCAGACCCCTCTAGATTGATTTAACTATTGCCACGGAAGCTTTCTGTAAAATCCGCATGCATACCTTTTAACATGACTGCGTCTCTTTCCTGGCGAGGTGCCAACACACAGGCTTGGCTTTTTCCATAGCCTGTCCATGGAATTCAGACTCTACCCGAAGCCAATCTCTTCGATCTCTACCTTGGGGTATGTGTCAAAGTAGGGATCTGGACCTTCGTTGCTGTTTTCTTTTATCATTTTTGGCTTCCCCTGAAACACCGAGGTTCAAGAGGATACTCTGAGAAACGCGCACGCACCATTCAAGCGTCCAGACATTTGCGGGTCCGGGCGCATTCGTAAGGTGAACACTATGGCCACTTCGTTGGGGCAAAGGTGAGGGCGAATTCGAGTCCAAGATCTCTTTGTTGATGCAAGTGGCTTCTCGGAATGATTCCGTGGTATATCTGGAAGGCCTTACTAGTAGTCATACTTTACAAGGGGGAGGTTCCATGGGTATCAAAGAAGCTCCGAAGCCCACCCCTCATTCCCACCATGCCATAGTGACGGAGTTGGGTAGCAACTGCCTTCATTTGCAGAAGACCAGCGTGATGCCCGGTTGCTGGGTGGCATTTAGGGTAACATACTGAAGGTTCAGAACCATTGGCACCCACAAAAGGAGGTAGTGCCATGAGATCCAGTTTTTCATTTTTTTCTGCCGCAAACACCGTGCGTGGTTGAAAACGAGACCAAGAAGTCCAAAAGGGGAGGGGGTTGGAGAACAAGGTGGGAACACACGTGGCAAATCACGGTCCGTAGCGCATGGCGCAGCTCATTCCCAAATGAGCCACGTGTTCAAAACCGATTCGGGGAGTGATGAAGGTTAGTCAGGGACGATGCCAACCATAAATAGCTGCGGCCGCCTTCTTAGTTCTTGAAGCATCGACCATTTTTGTACCGATCGGTTTTGATTGCGACTCAAATGACTCCTTAGGCAGCCGTTTGAATCCGGCAGAAGCCGCTGGGATGTGGCTTCTTTCCATCAGGCTTGGGCCCAATCAGCGAGTGAAGATTTATGATTGCCAGAAGGCAGGGAGAAGCTGTGTTTTCTTTCTTTTTCTTTTATTCTGACAGAAGGTGGGCGGTGTTGCTTTTTGCATTTTTGGCTATGGCACCCAACTTATCAACATGTAGTCTGATCCCCAACGAAGAGTTCATAGGACAGGAGCTGGGCAGACTGCATTTGGCGATCTTCATGAACACTTTCCTTTCTAGATAATTGGTTAGAACTCTCACATTTCAGTATCAGAATCCAAGTTTGGTCATTTGGGTGTGTCGCTTCTTGAGGCTACCTTTTTTTTGTGGGCTTTCGGGGGAAGCGAAACAAACAACCACCATTTTTTGTCCACCATCGGCTTGCCTGTTCCAACAGGATTCACTCAGTGAGAATATCTGGCTGTGGGTCAAAACCGTTCAACGGGATCCCATTTTGGTTGGTAGGTGAATTCACCACCCATTTTAGGCTTCCTACTTTAGTGGTTGGATTGAATCGGATGTTCACTGGGGGGCTACGATTTGGCTTTTGACCCATGGCCATATGGGAATGGTGCCCTCCTCTCCTGTACATGGCTTGCATTCGCCTCTGAATGCTTTAGCTCTGAACCTAAGCTCTAAACTTTTCCATCTGATTGACCTGAGGAACTTCCGAGATGCCTTCGATTTTTGGATTTGCTTGGGTCCATGGTGTGATCCCAACCCTACTCTACCTTTCCTACCCCTACCTAGCCGCCTACCCACCTAACCACCTACCCACCCCCCTACCCTCCTACCTACCTCTTGCCGGCAGGGCGACTTGCTGACCGAGATGCGCCGGAAGCATCCGGAGCTGCAGGCGGCAGTGGAGCAGGCGACGGCTGGGGCTGGGGATCAGTTTTTCCATCATGTTGATCATCATCATCATCATCATCATCATCATCATCATCATCATCCGAGCTCTTCCCGTAGTCTTCCCAGAGACCCCCCTGGATTCTTTTTGCATGGTTTTCATTTTTCCATGTTGTTCAGTTTTTTTTTCAATTCTGGCAGGAAAGAAAGAATTGAACAACGTGAAAAGTCCACGAGAACAATTGTCATTTTTCCTTTTTTTTTTTTTAACCAAAACTATTCTGGCAGGGGGACATATTTGGACAAATTGAAAAAACCATCCAGGAATTCCAGGCTGACCCCCCCTGATCATCATGTTCATCATCATCATTCTCATCATCATCATGTTCCTCATCACGTTCATCATCATTTTCATCATCGTGTTCATCATCATGTTCAGCATTATTTTTTTTCGACATCAGCATCATCATCATCATCAGCATTATCATCATCGTCATCATCATCATCATCATTATCATCACCATGTTCATCATCATTCATCATGTTCATCATCCATGAGCATCATTTTCATCATCATGCTCATCATCATTTTCATTATCAGTCTCATCATCTTCATCATTATCATCATCATCATCATCATCATCATCATTATCATCATCATCATCATCATCATCATCATCATCTTCATCATCATCATCATCATCATTATTATCATCATCATCGTCATCATCATCATCATCATCATTTTTATCATTATCATCGTCATCATCATCATCATCATCATCATCATCTTCTGTAGTCTTTCCAGACACCCCCTCAGTGATTTTCCAATTGTTTCATTTTGATCAAGTGTTCATTTCCGGCAAAAAGGAACCGTGCGCAAAAATGAGAGATCGACCACCACGATGAGCACTTTCTCGGCCCCAGCTGGCCTTGCGCACTTCTAGCTTGGTATGTAAATGAATGAAAAACATGTCTTCGTTTATCCTCTCTCTTATGTCCAATTACGTGTTTTCTATTGAATCCTTAGCATTATCTATCTCTTGGACTATTTTTTTGATTTCCTGTCTCTCTTGTTATCTGACTCTTTCATATATATACATATATCAATTTCTTAGGCCATAGAATGAACATCATATCATTATACATTCACTTTATTTGTTCTACATATCACTCATCGTTCTACTTTATGTACGTTCATTATGTATGTCATTCTATTACGTCTTGCTTTCTTATATTATATCAATTTCTCTTACTATCATCATCTACTATTGAATATTGTCTTGTTTCCAATCTGCTATCTCCCGTATGTAACTCTTCATTGCAAATTAAAACGGAATGAACAGATCCACATCATGTCCAAATTCTAGAATCATATGCTGTCATTATGGCAAGATGCGAAAAGGAACGGACAAGAAGCGCTCTCTCTCTCATCGTCTTTCGTATCCCAATTAGCTGTTTTCTATCGAAAACCTTTAGCACTGTCATCTACCTCTTGGATTTTACTATCCTTTCTCTGACTCTTTCTTTATTTCTCAGACATAGAAGTATTATCATACTACTATGTATTAGTGCTAGGTTCTCTACTTTTCATTTATTGTTCTAGGTGTGTAACTGAGTGTGATGATGAGGTCGTTTGGACTTGGTCGTTTTGCTTTTTGCATCTGCTTTGAAGGGCAACCAAAGAAAAGCCCAGTTTTCAGAGCGAGCAACCAGGATCAAAAGGCGAACTTTCAATTGGTGCCCATCTATGTGTCTAGGAAAACTTAGGGAAACCCGTGTTGATCGCAAATGGATATCATGTGTGACCCTTTGATTTCTCAGGCTCCCCTGATGTGAAGATCTCCCCAGATGCATCAACTTATTTGCCGCAGCGCTTCCTTGTCCTCTGAAGAGCTCCTCCTCTACGAGAAGAGTCTGGCTTGTCTTGGGCTCTGCTTTTGGGATTACGTGTGGTCCTATGTTGAGACGAACCTAGAAGGGTCCACTTTCTATTTTACTCGGTTTATTGTCTCCTTTCTAATCTGTTATCTCCAATATGTAACTCTTCATTGCAAAGTAAAACGAAATGAACAGATCCACATCATGTCCAAATTCTAGAATACGCAGTCATTATGGCAAGATGCGAAAAGGACATGGACAAGAAGCGCTCTCTCTCTCTCTCTCTCATCCTCTTTCGTGTTTCAATTAGCTGTTTTCTAGCGAAAACCTTTAGCACTGTCATCTAACCAATGGATTTTACCATCCTTTCTCGTTTGTTGTCTGACTCTTTCTTCGTTTCTTAGACTTAGACATATTATCAGACTATTGGTTGTTGATAAAATATTATATCCATCGCATTTATCGTTCTGCATTTTCCTTTAGAGCCTCCGGCTCAGTCTGCCGACATTGCAGCGCGGTTGCTCGAAGCTGCATGCAAGGTCCGACCCGAGCGGCTGGCTTTTGGGCAAGCGTTGAAGCACGCATGTCACCTTGTTGTTATGCTCGGGCACGATGTCTAAGATCTCATGGAGCTGTTGCGAGCTGCTTCTGTGCCGAGCGCTGCGAGGTTTTCTGCTGGCAAGGAAGCAGCTTGACATGAGTGTGCTCACCGGCCAAAGGAATTGTAGCCCAGGGAGCCGAAGAAAACCGTAGTGTACTGCTGTGGAACCAATCCAGACCAGCTCACAGTCATTGTCTTTCGTTTCCAATTCTTTTCCCCTTCATTCCCTCGCCAATGCCCCCTTCACATTTTGCGTTTTGTTTCCACCGTGGAACCAATCCAGACCAGCTTCCCGAAGCCTCAGTGTCTGTCATGTCCATTCATTTCCCCTTCAGTCTCCCGTCCATGCCCCCCTTCCCTTGAAGACTACGTTTAACCCCTTCATATCCAATGATTTCCCTACAACTCCCTACGTGGACCCCCACCCCAATCCGTTCGCGTCTTTCAGTTCCTTTCGTTTCCCCATCATTCCCCTTTCACATCTCGCGCCTTTCCTTTGCCTGTCCATTTCAGCTTCCCTTTGGCTTTGTGTGATGTTTCTAGACTTCGTCTCATTTCCAGTACTTGTCCCCTGCAGGTCCCCGTCGTATCCCCTTCATGTCACTGCATTTCCTTTACATATCACTTGCAGGAGGTCGAAAAACATAGTGTTTTCAATGTTTTCAGGAAAAGGAAGTCAAAACACGCCATGTTTTCCAATGTTTTCAGCAAAAGGAAGTCAAACACGGCCGTGTTTTCGATGTTTTCAGCCAAAGGAACCCGCCAAACCCGAAAACCCGAGCCGGCAGAGAGGCGGCAGGGGGATTCGAGCCTGGGACTTCCTCCAGACCCTCCCCGAACACACGTCGCGGGGGGACCCTGCGTAATTGACGTGCCCGGCAAGGGACTAGAGGGGGTTATCCTCTGTCCGACACGCCGACCAATGTTGGCGGATATTTACAAATTCATCATTTTTCCTCTTTCTTTTTCATTCGTTTTCTATCTCGCTATCTACTTCTCTTATGGTCATCATGCATCATTGTATTTCTTCTAATCTGGTATCTCCCACAAGTAATTCTTGTTTGCAAGGTAAATCGAAATGGACAGATACACATCATGTCCACATTCTAGAAATATGCTGTCATTTTGGCAAGACGCGAAAAGGAAATGGAGGGGACTTTTTGGGGGGACACGACATGCAAAGGAATGGAAAGAAATGGAAAGGACATGGAAAGGACTGGAAAAGCTGGAGCCGAAGGGAGAAGAAATGAATAAAACAAAGACTAGAAGACGGGTGGTCCGAAAGCATGTTCCATGACGCGCAGCCTGAACCGGTCCATATTTCCAACTGTGCGCTGTCTACTCTGTGCATGCCTGTATGCGCTTCACTCTGTGCTTGCCCGCCTATGCATGCCTCTATGCACTTCACTCTGTCTACTTTCGCATGCCTCTACGCAGCTCACTGTCTACTTTCCCTGTGCATGCCTCTATGCACTTCACTCTGTGCTTGCCCTATGCATGCCTGTATGCACTTCACTCTGCTTACTTTCCCTGCGCATGCCTCTATGCAGTTCACTGTCCACTTTCTCTGCGCGTGTCTCAATGCATTTCACTGTCTACTTTCCCTGCGCATGCCTTTACGCATTTCACAGTCTACTTTCCCTGTGCATGCCTCTATGCATTTGCTTGTCTACTTTCCCTGTGCATGCATCTACGCACTTCACTTTGTACTTGCCCTTCGCATGCCTCTATGCATGTCACTGTCTACTCTGTGCATGCCTCTATGCCTCTGTGCATTTGCTTGTCTACTTGCCTGCATCTATGCGCTTCGCTCGTACTTGCCCTATGCATGCCTCTATGAATGTCACTGTCTACTCTGTGCATGCCTCTATGCATTTTACTGTGTACTTTCCCTGTGCATGCCTCTATGCATTTCACGGCCTACTTTCCCTGTGCATGCCTCTATGCATTTGCTTGTCTACTTTCCCTGCGCATGCATCTACGCACTTCACTTTGTACTTGCCCTACGCTACTCTGTGCATGCCTCTATGCCTCTGTGCATTTGCTTGTCTACTTGCCTGCATCTATGCGCTTCACTCGTACTTGCCCTATGCGTGCCTCTATGCATGTCACTGTCTACTCTGTGCATGCCTCTATGCATTTTACTGTGTACTTTCCCTGTGCATGCCTCTGTGCATTTCACGGCCTAGTTTCCCTGTGCATGCCTCTATGCATTTCACTGTGTGCATTCCCTGCGCATGCCTCTATTCATTTCACTGTCTACTTTCCGCGTGCATGCCTCTACGCATCAAACTGTCTACGTTCCCTGCTGCGCATGCTCTATGCATTTCACTCTGTACTTGCCCTATGCATGCCTCTATGCACTTCACTTTGTACTTGCCCTATGCAGGCCTCTATGCATTTCACGGTCTACTTTCCCTGCACATGCCCCTATTCATTTATGCATTTCACTGTCTACTTTCCCTGTGCAAGTCTCTACGCATTTCACTGTGCACTCTGCCTATGCATGCCTCTACGCATTTCACTTTGTACTTCCCCTG